GTTAGCCCACTTACAATTGTCCTGCTTCTTGCCTTGCTAGTATTTTTAACATGATTTAATCCTTTTGAAAACAATCATTTACTACACCAAAGGGCCGTTCACTGGATTGATGAGTAATCAGCCTTGTCAGAGTGAGATTGTAGTTACACTGTAGGCATGAAACTGAATCTTTCGGGTATGGCTCCATGTTCGCTCTTATTGCTACTGATTTTTGTTTTGTTTGTTTAGGTATCATTGCCATCAACTTGTTCTGTTGTTATGTTGCATGAAAATTCTGCTCATTGAGAGCCTGAATAAGTTGGATGCCAACTAATTACAGTTCTGTTAAATATTTTTAGTAATTGCTTTTCACTTCTTACTGGCAAGTAATAGATGCCTTGCTGATTCAGAATAACATTGGTTGTCTCACTCATGCAGCCCATTTCCACTGATGTGCTTTTTTTTTTTTAAGACAGAGTCTCACTATATTACCCTCAATAGAGTGCTGTGGCATCACAGATCACAGCAACCTCAAACTCTTGGGCTTAAGTGAGTCTCTTGCCTCAGCCTCCCAAGTAGCTGAGACTACAGGGGCCTGCCATAATACCCTGCTATTTTTTGGTTGTAGTTGTCATTGTTGTTTGGCAGGCCTAGGCTGGATTCAAACCTGCCAACTCCAGTGTATGTGGCTTACGCCCTAGCTGCTGAACTATAGGCGCCAAGCCCACTAAACTGCTTTTTGAATAAGCAACATCCACCTGATCAAACTTTGAATTCACTGAGGGATGGATACCCTTAGTATTCAGTTTCTGAAAACTGTGATAACTATATGTTTTGTTTATTGGCAAATAACAATCAAAGCATACTCCATGTAAAAAATGTTAATGCCTACCTCTATTTATTTCTTTTTTATTGTTTCAGGTTAATTTGAGGGTATAAACAATTAGATTACAATGTTTGCTCATTAGGTAGAACCCCTCTTATAATTATGCCCCACCCCAAGATGTGCGCATACACCCTAACATTGTGCCCATTAAATGGGGGTACACCAATCTCTCTCTCTCCTCTCCCTGATCCCTCATTCCCCCACCCTCCAACTTGAATTGAGTTGAGTTTTTCTCTTATGTGGATGTGTATGAGATTGTCTGCTGGCTTCATATTAGTATTGAGTATATTGGATTCTTGCTTCTCCATTTTTGTGATTTTTTTGTTTCAACTCTTCAGATTAATACAAAAGATGTAAAGTCTCCATCTATTTTATGGCTAATGCTTACCTCTTTGAACAAATTTTTACATGGATAATATAGACAGTGGTTAAAAATATGGAGTTTTAGAGTCAGTTCTGAGTCTAAGCACAAATTCAGCATGTACTAGTTCTATGACTGAACCAATTATCAAATTTGCGTGGGCTATAGTTTGCCCCTCTGTGAAATGGCCTAGGAATCATAATAATAATACCTACTTTGGGTTGGTAGGTTGGTGATGTAAGATAATGCATGTGAAATGCTCAGCATGGAGTGTTTAATAAGCATTCACTATCATTATTTTCACACATTTTATAACTTCCTCACAACTACCTTATGAGGTAGGCCAAATTGCTAACATTATGCGATTTAAACAGTAGACAGTTCAACCTCAAAGTGGTTAATGATTCATCCAAAGATGGCAAAATGCTGCTGATCTCTCACAAGGCACGAGTCCCTAAGGCATCACCCTCCCTTTGTCCCCCTGCCATGTGGTGCTACCTCCTCATTGCCCAGGTGTAAAGTCTTACAGGATGACAGTCTCTGCCCCAGCCTCACAGGTGGACAACAGCAAGAAAGCCTGGAAGAGGCTTTAAACCTACATCAATATTATACATGCATTTTCTGGGAAAATTGCACTGTTGTAACTGCAAAGTCAATTTAGTAACACTAATGGAGAAGTAGTTTCCAGCTCGGCGCCTGTGGCTCAAGCGGCTAAGGCGTCAGCCACATACACCCAAGGTGGCAGGTTCGAATCCCCAGCCCGGGCCCGCCAAACAACAATGATGGCTGCAACCAAAAAATGGCCAGGCGCTGTGGCGGGCGCCTGTAGTCCTGGCTACTTGGGGGGCTGAGGCAGGAGACTCGCTTGAGCCCAGGAGTTGGAGGTTGCTGTGAGCATGATGCCATGGCACTCTACCCAGGGGGATAGCTTGAGGCTCCGTCTCAAAAAAAAAAAAAAAAAGAGAGAAGTAGTTTCCAAAAGGTGGGCCTGAAACCCCCGGGAGAAGCAAAGGGATGATAGCAGCTCAGCATCAAATCTGCATGTCCAGCCAGCTTTGTGGGGAAACAGGCTCAGCCGCGCATTGTTCTTTAAGTATTTGTCTATCTTACCATCAACATCAGATATAAACTCATTCAAAGTCCGTGAATGTATTATGTCATTTTAACATGCTGTACTTTCTCAATTGATATGAAAAGTACAATTTCTCTTATAGGGGTGGGGGCAATCTAAAAAAAAATTTTTTTTTCATTTTAAAAACCAGATCTACACACTCTGTAACAGGGGTCCTCAAAAATTTTAAACAGGGGGCCAGTTCACTGTCCCTCAGACCGTTGGCAGGCTGGACAAGTCAGCTGCTAAGCAGTTCAGGCAGTAGCGGCAAAAACACCCAGCAAGCAGATAAATGTCCTAGGCAGGCTGCATGTGGCCCGCGGGCCGTAGTTTGAGGACGCCTGCATAAACTTAGAAAATAATGGTATTGAGGAGAGAGCTGGTCTATGAAGTCTAATACTCCAGATTTAAGTGCTAGCCCTGCTAATTACAAGCTTAACACATCGTAAACGCAGGCAGCTCAGTTATAGTCCATAGATATTTACTATCTTGGGCCTTGAAGGGGCCCCAGCCCTTAGCCGGGACCAAGGGTGAATAGCAATCCTTCAAAACAAATTCTTCTGTGGGCCTCAATTTTCTCACTTATAAGTCAGAAAAATAATAGCAACTCTCTTCACGAGGCTATTATGAGGATCCATGAGAGAACCAAGAAAATAAATATACTGTGATGTTTGTGAATCCCTTAGAACTCACAGACACATGGTGTCCAAGACAGCTGTCCTGGAGAAGAAAACGCTTCATCTCTTCTCTCTGCCTTTCCTATAACTAGTGACCATCTCCCCACCATGGACTTATCAAAATACATAAATTAATTTTTTAAAAAAGCTGACTTGGCTCAGCGCCTATAGCTCAACCGGCTAAGGCGCCAGCCACGTACACCTAAGGTGGCGGGTTTGAATCCCCAGCCTGGACCCGCCAAACAACAATGATGGCTGCAACCAAAAAATAGCCGGGCGTTGTGGCGGGCGCCTGTGGTCCCAGCTACTTGGGAGGCGGAGGCAGGAGACTCGCTTGAGCCCAGGAGTTGGAGGTTGCTGTGAGCTGTAATGCCACGGCACTCTACCCAGGGGGACAGCTTGAGGCTCTGTCTCAAAAAAAAAAAAAAAAAGCTGACTGTGTTCCCTTCTTTGACGTCTATATTCATTTTTCTAAAACTACTTTTCCATCTCTTCCTCCCACTTGGCTTTTTCTCTTTCATCCGGAAGTTGTAATATTCTTTAATATCAATATGGCAATATATCGGATCATATGAGATATTTATGAAATATTTATGAGATAGATATTTATCGATATTTATGAGATATTAAATAAGGTACTAATATAAAATTCAAAGCAGGGGATAGCCCAAGAGCTCACAGATTGTCCTTTACAACCCCAAGTTCACTCAAGGCCCATCCATGAGGGACCTTATCAGCCCTATCTGTCGCAGGGCTCCCAGCGATGTGAATCTCACCCAGGCCCCGTAACTCCAGGAGGTAGGAAGGAGAGAGAGACTGTTGCTCTCCCCACTCCCAGTCCTGCCTGAGTTCTGGGAAAAAGTGGTTTATGACCATGAGCCATTACTGGCAGAACTGAAATCTTCCCTGACTCAGTTCTTCCAGAAACATATTAGGTCTCACGTATTTTTAACTCTCCTTTGATTCCCTATTATGTGTAATAACTGGTGGATTTGGTCTTTATATCTACTCTTGTCAACAGAAGACATTCACTTAGAGTCTACTAAGTACCAGCCAATACACAAAGTGCTGTGCAGAAATGCAATTAACATGATGTATGTGATCCCTGCTTTGCAGTTTCGAAGTAAATAAACCAGCCTTTATTTCCAGGCAGCGAGTATTATTTGGGGATCTGTGATGATGACACTTCAAAGAAGATCTTATCTTCATTTTATAAATGAGGCAAAAGAGGGCTCAGAAATAAATTTGCCAAGACCGCGTAGTTAGCAAGCGTCAGGGCCAGGTTGCTCCAAAGCCTACATTGTTCTAAAGTCCATGCCCTTTTCAGTATTTCATTACCTCCCTTAATCGGGAAGGCAGAACAGACACTGAAAAAAGAAAAACGAACACAGAGGTTAAGGAAAAACTACAACAAATAAGTATTAGAAACTCTCCTGACTGTCCTACGCCTGAGCAGCTGAAGCACCTGGAACAAGGCGCGCCCTTGAGCAGATTCCAACGTGGATCAATGATACAACCTGGAGAAAGGGAAAACAGGTGGCAGCCAGGAAACAACTGTGCTGGAACCAGGAGAAATGACACTCCCGTTGATTAAATCTTATAAGACAAAAGTTACATTCTCAACACACCATTTGTTCCTCCACAATGAACCCTCCCTCCATTCAGGAGGCTTCATTTTTAGGGCTTAGGAAAGTATAAAAAGATGATGGAAACTTTGCAAGTTGTTGTGATTTTCAAAGACCCATCTTCCAGCAATATAAGAGAGCAGTGGTTCATGTGCTGTCGCATTGCCAAGTTCACTGCCCTCAACATTAATCAAATTCCCTTCACACATAGCGCTCTCTTCTGGGAGGGGAAAGGCGATCATCTTTCTCCGGACATCTGGTGTTGGCTTCATTGACATAACTGGTTAAGAGGATTTACAGGGGAAAAGCGAACACCCTTGGCAATGCCTTCAAACATTTGTTTGGATTTTCTGTTTTCTAGGAGATGCACGACTAACGGGTCAGACGGGGGTCCCTGCTGAACGCCGAGGCTCCTACCCATTCATTGACTTCCGCCTCCTTAACAGTGAGTAATCAAGTGTACCTGGAAAGGAACAAACGTTCTCTTCAAAAAGGAAAAAAAATACATATCCTCATTTCCCTCTGAACTTCAAAACCTTCCCGGGTCTGCCTTCCTTCCCACGTCTCTCTCCTGCCAACTGGAACTTAACCCTTTGTCTTTGAATTTCCTCAGGAGTGAAGTAATTCTGGCCCGGCCCTGCCTAAGCATTAGTGAGGGTCAAATCCTATCAGCTTTAAAAATGTGAATCTTAAAGGCTCTGAAACATTCTCCAAGGAAGCTGTCGTGTGCATCTTCCCTGCACATTCTCTCCACTTCAGCCAGGACTAGATGAGATGGGATTCTATTTTATTTTTCAAACTCCACGGAGAAACCTCACCTGCATTGCCCTTAGTAACCCACCCACTATCTAATTCTCAGTTCTTTGTCTAATCTAAATCCTCGAGGTGTAGTCTCGCATTCCTGGCAAAACTCCTCACCGTGGCAAAGTTCTTTCCCTCTGCCCTGCCTGCCTTCTCCTTTCTCACCAGCTTTCTGCAAGTTCGTTTACTTCTCCCTTTCACCTCATGTACCAGTCCTCACTGGAAGGTTTTCTCAACCTTTGGTTCATTATTCTCTTAATCTTAGGTTCTTCTGGAAACCTAAATCAGAGGCCAATCATCATCCAGATTTCCTATCCTCCTAACTATCATAATCATCCTCCGCCGCGGACTGGTGGGGAAGGTGGGGAGAGAGTGATTAAATTTCCATTCTGCTCCGAGGTTCTCAGGGTGTGGTTCTCACATCACTTCCCATCTGTAAGTTTCAAAGTGTTGAATTGCGCCCACAGAACATTACTTTCTTTTGACATACACAAACTTAGCTAAGGAGGTAATTTGATTTGCTTCAACTCTTAGAAATTACTAGGAGAAATTAGAACTCGCTATTTTCTGATCCTTGGATCATGGAAAGACCAGTAGGTGACAGACATGTTTGTATTTCTCCTGACTTGTGAACCTCCAGAACCTCCAGGATCAATGTGCAAGATCTGTTTTTTCAGCTCTTTCTGGGACACAAAGAATTAGAGTAACTCTTTCCATATTAGAGACCAGCCTTGTCCCCACTCAGATGCCAAAAATGCTTTATAGAATGCGGAAGTGAGTCATGAGACCAGGGCAATACTGGATACAGCCTGCAGATACAATAATGATGTCTGTGACCTCTCCTTGTGACCTTGAATGGGCTGGTCCAGCTACCCATAGAAGTCACACCTTTGACAGTCTCTCAACCAAATGGATTTCTTTGTCCCAGGCATGTGATTCACTGTTTTCACATAGACCAGAATTCTCCATCCTGTTAGTAGGAGGGGGAAAATAACAAAGAGTCTCTTTGCAGTGATAGATGAGAGGCCGTTTTATGGTTTCTAATATAAACCATGAATAAAGTAAGAAAACGGGAGATCATCCCCTTTATAATGCAAGGTTCCAAATGAAAAAAAATTAATCCCACCGTCAATAAGCAACACCATTACTAATGGTGGTTATCTTTGCAGATGGGACAATAAAATACTTAACTCTTCAGCTTAGGCTCCTGTAACACTTTTTCTATTTTGCAGTTTTTGGCCAGGGCTGGGTTTGAATCAGCTACCTCTGGCAATCAGCCGGTGCCCTACTCCTTTGAGCCACAGTTGCTGCCCACATCTTTTTTTTTTACAGTTTTTTCTTTTACTTTTATAATATTAAAAACAACATGAAATAAATAAAAACTTAAAGAGAACCTTATTGCAGATAATATTTCACTGTCATATTATTCACCCTGTAACAGATCATCTGCAAGTGATGCCATGGTGTCCCTCCTCTGCTGGAGGTTCAGAATGTCCCAGGGCCTGAGCTCACCCCAGCCTCCCTCCCCAGCCCCGGATGCTGTCTGCTTCCCTTCCACCACCTCACCTGTTGCTCCCACCCATTAAGTAACAGTGTTGGCCATCCATCCCGAAATTCCCTTTTTGTTCTTCTCAGCACTCCATTCCAGATAACTCTTTCACTCATGTCTCTGAATTTGTAAAAAAAAAAAATGCTAAGGCAATGTTAATTTGCCTTCATTGTATTTTGCTTTATAAGCCATCTCAGTTTTTTTCCTATGTGCATAAAACACATCCCTAAATAGACTATAAGATCTTAAAGACAGCGTCTTTATAGTCATTGAACACTCAGTAACTATAGCTAATCTACCATTAACCCATTAAAGGGTCTCCTCAAAAAGATTATATTAAATAACTATGAATGTAGATCATCCTCTATGTTTAACTGAACAGCACAAATTGGGCTGAAGACTTCTAAAATTATCCTTTATTGATGGTACTACCTACCCCTCTGTATAATGGGCCACATACCCTGCTGGTGAGTTGAAACTAGAGCCAGTAACACCACTGTGGTTACCTTCCACAATTCCTAACTCAGTCTGCAATGACAGCAGCTTGTTGCCAGGTGGCAGTAGCATGGGGACATCTACATTACATATAGTCATGTAAGATGGACTTCACGTACATCTCCCACTGCTTTACCTTCTGTCTATTTAATTCTCTGTAATCTCATCCTGGGTGTAGTTTGCTTGAGTTGTTAGTGTGCACTTTCTGCCTAAAGGGAAACATTTTGGAACATTTGGGGATTTTCTCCTAAAATGTTTATCGTTACCAACTGATTACAATTCTGTGCTCTAAGTTCTAAACTAGTTTAAAGTGATTCTTTATGTTGCTCTCCTTAATTTTGAGTCAATTTTTTCCAAGTTTGGGCACAGACCCAAGACTTCGTTTCCTTGAGTTCTTGTAGTTTGGCTCTCTTTCCCAAGAGAGAAACCATATATAGAAGAAATCGAATTATCACAGCCTCTATTCCCTAATTCTGCATCCCAGCAGCCTTCCTTCTAAAATGCCTGTGAAACCCACACAACTGCCATTCCCTATCCAGAGGGCCCCCAGCTGTTTATTCTCTGCTACCCACCTCAATATGTGCTTTGGGTCACTGTAACATGCATAAGCAAAAATTTACATTAGATAGGAGAGCCCACTACATTTCTCCACTGGCCCCATTAGTCACAGCAGGACATGGGGCATCAGAATTAAGGTCTAAAATAACTCATCTTCTATAAGAACAAAGTTTCTAGATATTAAAATAGGTAACTAGAACAGGGTTTAATAAATGAACAGCCATACACCAAATATGTCCCCCGGCCCTGCCTGTTTTTTGATTTTTTTTCTTTTTTTGAGATGGAGCCTCAAGCTATCCCCCTGGGTAAAGTGCCATGGCATCACGCTCACAGCAACCTCCAACTCCTGGGCTCAAGCGAGTCTCCTGCCTCAGCCTCCCAAGTAGCTGGGACTACAGGCGCCCGCCACAACGCCTGGCCATTTTTTGGTTGCAGCCATCATTGTTGTTTGGCAGGCCCGGGCTGGGGATTCGAACCCGCCACCTTAGGTGTATGTGGCTGGTGCCTTAGCCACTTGAGCCACAGGCGCCGAGCTGGCCCTGCCTGTTTTGATAAACAAAATTTTATTGGGACACTGCCATGACAATTTTTTTATACAGCAGCTACAGCTGCTTTGTGGTCCACAAAGCCAAAACACTTACCAGATGACCCTTTACAGAACAAGGTTGCCAGCCCCTAACTTAGATTTTTTTAACAGATTTAAGGGGGTTTGTAACATCTTCATAGTCATGGTCAGTCCAGTCTATTTTCCTTTGTTAATGTCATTCTTTTACTTTTCAATCCCCAGTGCCATCACTTTACTTTCAAGAGTGAACTCATATTAACTAAACTTACATGAGACAGAAGTATAAACAGAAAGAGAACCTCTATTAATCTGGATTTTAAATTCCACTTTAAAATGATAATTTCCAATTGTACAAACATCCTTCTGGAAAAGATGTCCCTTTATACATATTTAGGGTGGGACAGAAGGGGAGCTCAGTATGACCATGCTCATGTACCTCTTATCTACATATAAGGCAACTATATATACTTGGCCTGCCTGGCATAGACTTAGTTTGCACCTATTGTTCAGGGATACTTATTAATAGCACCATCTTTTACTCCCAAAATGTCTGAGTTTGGACATTAAATTACAAGGCCAACTGTTTATATAAATTTTCCTACAAAAGATCACTTCAATATAATGCCTCTCAAGGATCACATGCAGGAAGATTAAAAGCTCTATTATACAACACAGTGACTATAGTTAATAGCTAATCTATTATACTATATACTTCAAGATCACTAAGAGAATAAATTTTAAGTGTTTTTACCACGAACAAATAATTATATGAGGTTATACATGTTATTTAAGTTTATTTAGCCATTCCACAATGTTTACACATTTTAAAACATCATTTGTCCACCATAAATATATATAATTTTTATTTGTCCATGAAATAATAATAATAATATATCATATGGATTCCAGGAAGAAAGATTAGAAAAATCCTGCTCATAGGAGATCCATCTAGATCAATAGAAATATGTAAGGCAGAGTAACTCACTAAAAGCCAATTTTATTTCCTGTTTCTATTTTATACGATTTAGAAGAAAGGCATCGCTATGAGTTTCCAGAGGTTTCTCTGGATAATTAGCAGGAAACTGGCTTCGGCACCATTGTGTGGGACACAGAAAACACAGACCTTTAAAGCCAAGAGTTATGAGTTATCTTTACACCTAAGCCCGGAGGGGCAAAACAGAGTGAGAGATGAGGGGGGACAATTATTTTTATTCCAGACGATGTACTAACACAAAGAACTAGGAGACGGCAGGAGCAATTGAAATGGAATAGCCCTATTATCCCACAGCCTATTTCCATAGATTTATTTCATTTACTAACTCTGTTTGGGGAAAAACAAAAGAGGCAAAAAACGTAGAAAAGAGTGCTCAGGGATGTGTGGACACAGAGGTGAAAGTCACAGAAATACAAGCCCTCCAGCTCGGTCTCCTGATTTAATGTAATCAGTAGCCTGAGTAGATAATGACTAGGTTGAGAT